ATACTCAACTCACAAAATATTCGGGTTTTGAGCCTTATTCGAGTTTAACCCAAATTCACTTATTGCTCCTCAATTTTCTTAATAGAATTATTATAACTTTTGAATTGTAAAACTAATTCAACATTCACAAGACTACAACATTAAAACTAAATATGAACAAATAATAGGTCTTAAAAAGTATATAAACCAAGAATTTTTCAACAATATTTATATCTAATTAGTTCAAAATACATAAAAAATAATAATAAAACATGCTGTCATAAACCAATACAACGTCAAAGATTTGAACTTCTTCATAGCTTTGTGACTTGAATCCAAACATGTTTGATGATTTGTGTTTCTAGACTAAAAAAAAATCAACCAATATTATGTCAACACAAAAATTTACTCAATCAATAAGAAAAGTTAAAGTTTCAGTTATGCATTACCAATATTGTCTCCCAAGAAAGTTTGCGTAAGAGTTTTTAAACGTATTTTTTGTGTTTTGTAATTTATATATATTTAGTATTTAATAATAATATATTTGGATATATAATTGTATATAATATCAAAATATATATATTATATATATATCATTTTATATATAGGTAATTTAAGGGCCGAACCTATATCGGGTTTGAGCCTAATAAGGTTCAAGTTCAGCTCATATTATATTTAATTCGAACATAATGTTTAGATTCAAACTCAGACCAACTCACTAAAAAGTCGAGCTCATCGGGCTTTTTATCGGGCTGAACGAGCCTAGCTCGAGCTAGTCCGGTCCCATTGACAGTCCTATCATGCATCTAATGATGATAGTGTATATACTGATACTTCAGAAATGGAGATGATGGAAAATTCCTTTTTTTTTTTGTTTAACCCTATGATGGGAAGTGTTCAGTGTGGTTCACCACTTAACCCTGTTTAGTAATTTTCCAATGTGTTTAACGTTGCCTAACGCCTAGTTAACCTTACCACACTTTTTCTCTCTTTTTTATTTTTTTTTGTGATAAGTTAACACTAGTGCATTGGAATATTAATGCTCATTAGCTCGGAATATACATAAAGAAGCAGTTCAAGGTTTTTAGTATACGGGGATAATATCCAAAATCTCTGTTCAGGTTTTTGACCATTTCAATCATCTCCACTAAGATTTGAAAATTAGACTAACTTTGATATTACAAAAAGACTATATTAGTTTTCATAAAATCTTCAACTCCAATCAAAGAGCTTTACAAATAAAAATAAGAATGAGAAAAATCTGCTAAGCAATATATATATATATAAGCACTTAAACTCACCTCCTCATCTAGTGATCTCCATCTAACCAGCCTATTAAATCTAAAATCTCCACAATTGAATTTTATTCACAATAATCCAATCATCAAATCCCATCAGTATTTCTCCCTTATATAGGGATACTTTTCTTCCTATAAATATTAACTATTTAATTTCTTTAATAGATGAGATGGGGTCAATATGGGGTATTCACTAGATTTGTTATACTTACATCATTAGTTCTTGTTACCTAGTTATATATATTTTAGTAAGGGAGATTTCTGTAATCATCGAAACCTCAAGGAAGGTGGCAGAAAAACCTAGGGGAGCTTTTTTTTTTTTTTTTTTTTTAATAAAAATTCTGCATAGTGAGATAGATAGAGACTTGCCAGGAAATAAATAGCTAATTATGTAAGATATGACCTGTACATAGAAACTATAGTTGATATATTTTGACCATGCACATGCTATCTCATTTTCATGGAACCAAGACAATTGTATGTTACATCACTCAGGGGTCCTCATAGGCTACAAGGAATCAGACCTTTAAAGGCGGTTCAAGGACAAATTTTCCAACGTTTTTAGCTGCAGGAGGATCACGAATCATGAGTGCGTCATTTTCCAGTCCCGACGACACAAATCCAACGGCCTCTGATTAGGTTCCTTGAGCTTGTTCTTATTATCACTAAGGGAGTCATTTTTGCTAATTTAACTATGGCATAGTATTAGAGGTAAACATAATTTTGTTAGAGCATGCATTTCTTATAACGAAAATTTTTCTCATGAATTTTGGGGATGAAAATAGTTTTTTTTTTTTTTCTTGCACTTCAATTAAATGGGTATCTATCATACTGGTTACCTGTAGTAAATGAGCAAGGCAATTTTTCCATCTTCGGAAGAGGGATGCATTATTTATTCTCTGGTGAATTGGCTTTGTTTGGATTTGGTTATTTTTCAAAACTAGTTTTTCAAATACAAAGTTATAGTAAAAAATAACTTCAAAAACATCAATTTATGCAAAAATAACTGACAAATACATAAAAAAAAAAAATTCTACTACATCTTCTTCCACCACGCGCCACCACCCACCACCACCCATCATCACCATTCCCTCCCTTCTCTCTCCTCTTTCTTCCCCTCCTTCCTTCTCCCCCTTCTTCCTTCCTCTCTGGTTGTGATCGATCATGGAGGGAGAGGGAGGAGGGTGCCTGAAGGAGGGGAATGGAGGAAGAGGGAGCAAAAAGGACGAGGAGGGAGAGGGAGAAAGAATGAGGGGAAGAAAGAGGGAGAGAAACGAGAGAGAAGGAAAGAAGAGGAAGGGAATGACAGAGGTCGGTGACGATATGGAATGGTATAAATTTTTAAAAAATATTCAAAGAAATTTTAAATGCTAAAAATTCCTTAAAAGACATCCCAAAAAAATCCCCCAAAAATATCCCTGAAAACACCCTAATACATCTACATCTCTAGTAAAAGTTTTACAAACACAATGATTTAGATAAATTTTTGAAAAACACCCAAAATATAGTTAGGACTATGTCATTTTCTCAAACTTGTCAAATACATATCTGGTGTCTAATATATGGTTGCTCCGAAGTCGCTCTCAAATCATATTTTTGTTACCCCTTTCTCTTTAGATGGAGTCGCTCTCTGTCATTGTTCCCTGTTCATTTTTTTTTTTGGACCCCCCGGCGGGGGATGAGGGAGGGGGGTTTTGAAAAAGTTGTTCCCTGTTCCATTGAATAAAAACAAATTAGTGAAAGGACGCATATATTTCTGTATCTATGGGGTATAGGCAATTGGGGAGTAGGTCCAAGATTTCCTTTGGCGTGTGACGGTTTAGTCTAGTCCACGTACTGCCGTCGCAGTCATTTCTTGAACTAAATCCTGAATTTTGACTTTGCATGTTCTAAATCGAAAGTGAATGATGTACTAATACAGAAGGATTTAGTTGTATGTAAATATATTTTTTAATCATTTTTTTATATTTTTAATTTTTTTTTGTTTTAAAAAATGTTACAATAATTATTGTAAATAATATTTAATTCAAGTTTATTTGGAGATTTAGACGTTCAAATGGACAGGGAAAAAAAATACTAATCCAATATGCTGTTAACGAGTGCTTATGTTTTCTTGGTGTAGTAGCAAAAGTTTTTCACAGTTTCATTAATTTTTTAAGCTGTTAGGCTTCTAATGCGTGAAAGCTTAAAGCCTCACATTTGGTTTTTTATTGTGTTAAAATTATATCGATATTATTTGGGACTCACTTGATAATTTTGAAGGCCTGCCCTTGAGTTCGAATTCTAAAATTAAAAAACATTATATGCAAGTCTTACATAGATAGTTGTAAGACCATTGATAGGGACTCGCTTGGGTAGTTATAATATTTATATTTTTTTGGTGATAAGTTTTAATGAATAACAAATAACTGAATTTATTAAATAATTGAATTAGAGGTGAGTTGAATTGGATAGTAAGGTGGAAGGAATATAAGTAAATAGGTTCTGAATTCAAAATCTTCACTTATAAATAAAAAAAAAAGAATTTGTTACATATGTCCGTACATTTCAAAATGCAACAAATACCGTGTTTGGTAAATACATTTTAAAAAAATTGACAGAAAGTTTGGTATAAAACAATTTAGGCAGGACCCATAAAGAAATATACTTAAAAGGACATCATTACAATTTTGTAAAAATTTTTGGGGGCAAAGTTTTTAATGTCTTCAAGGATAAAGATTAATAATCAAATTGAAACTTTTATAATCTGATGAATATGACTAAGGATGGCAATGGGGCGCATGAAATGGGGCCGGGCGGGGGTGGGGAAACATACACCTGCCCCATCCCCCGCATACAATAAAATATATATATATATATATAATACAATTCTAAATTTCTCAAAATTGCACCCTTACTTACAAGTACAACGCTAATTACGGTCGCCGCAACAATTGAAGAAATTTCTTGGACTATTGTTGATTTGTTTCTAACACCCCCCTCAAGATTAAGCTATCCAATTCCAACCTGTTTTGCCCCTAACCCTTTTTTATTTCGATCGGTTCCCTTCCTCCGCACTGAATGTAACTTGACTTGTTATACTTTATTTCCATCTTGACAGTTTTTTAATCTTATTTAACATTGTTTACAATTGTATTATTATAAATAAACATTTATGATCCGGGGGGGAGACGGGATGGGGGTGGGGCGGGGGATAGGGCGGGAGACGGGGGGAGTTATTTGACAACGGAGCGGGGGGTAGGGAAGGATCCCCTGCCCCAACCCCGCCTTGTTGCCACCCCTAAACATGACCTGAAATTTCGGTAGTAGATCTTTTCCATTTCGGTAGTAGATCTTTTCCATTTTGCTGGAGGCTGCATAAAATCGTGGCTTCTAAAATAATACTAATTAAGAACAAAAAAAAACAAAGGCGGAGCAGGCTCCAAAGTCAAAGCTGTAGGCCACACTGACACTGTAAGAACTTATCAGAAGAAGAGCTTCCATACTGGGCGTCGACTGCGATTATTGAGAGCCGGCCAGAGACGAGTGGGTTCAATGAATCTTTCTTTTTTTTTTTTTCCCCTTCACCTTTGGTCGGCAACGACAAATGGGACTTCTTTGGAGTGATTTGATGAATACCCTATACGTCGTAATAACAAAAAGTAAAAGAAGAATTTTTTTCAAGAAACTGTTGTATAGTTTACAAGATAGTAGCAAAGATTACATATTTTATGGGTGCGCAAATTCATAATTTTTTGTTGTGGTCCTGAATATGCTGATGATTATTAGGGCACAAATCATTAGTTAAATTCAACCAACGATTATCACAGATGGGGGCTCTATAATACCATTAGACAATAGTAGTACAACAGCGTACTAGTGAGCAAGTCAATGAACGTGTGCATGTGCCCTCGTGTATTGGATGGATGGATCTAAAGTCAGGCGTCCATCAAGATTCTGAACTGGTGTGTCATTTCTTCAGAAGAAGAATATAAATGCGATGGGATGCAAGCAGCGATTATTGACCATAGTCCAGCTCTTCATGCACTTCTGTCTCCTTGAAATTACATTACAGGAGGCCTTCCCTCTCTCTTCAGAACGAAAAGGATCAGACTAAAAATCTCTCTCTTTCCAAATCATAAGAAAATATCATTAAATACCTTACCTCTCTACCAAATACTAAGTTACAATTCTCTCGAGGAGACTTTGACTTAATAGTTGAGGTTGAAAGCTCCAAAATTAAATGTTTTGAATTCTAGTCTCCTAACTTCCTCCCCACTTCTTGAATCCCACCCCCCTCCTGCTCTACACCAAAAAAAAAAAAAAAGAAGTCACAATTCTAAAGTTTCCAGACTGCTAGTAACATTCCACATTCCATCTCTATTCTTTGTCACATTGATAGCATTTTGGAATACAGGTTTACAACTTTAAACGAATTGGGCAAAAGACGTCAAGTATTTACCTTGTAAACAAGCGTGAGAACATCTGTCCAGTGTCCAGTGCCCCGGATATGTATTGAACAATAATAATGTAATTATTGACTTGGGCACATGTCAATCCATTTCCTTTTTGCTTGCTTGTTCTTTGGACGAGTAGATAGATGTAAGCACCCAAAGATTTCCCTATCATAGCTTTCACTCACGATCAGAATTACTCTATGAGGAAGCCCTCAAGCAGTTGTCACAGGGACTAGAACCATTTTTACAGCCGTTTGGGTCAAAGGACTCTCCAAAATGAGCTAATAAGTATTGTCTACGACATTCAGTCTGCAAAAGATCAGAAAATGGATTTTAAAAAATTGAACTAGCACTTTGTCTGGAGTGTGTGTTTCTGCAGCAGAAAGGCTGAAACTTTCTTAGCAGCAGGTCTGAGGGATATAGTAATTTAAATTACTTACCTTAAGTTCACAATAGTGTTGCATTTTCCGAGCTTGATCCATAGCCAATTTGAAGCTCTCAATTTTGCGCCCTTGCCCATTTCTTAACATACAGACCACACGACTGAAATCCTTCTTCTGGTATAGAGCAATGCATTTAGCAGGAAAGTTATCTCTGCCTGCTCTTCCAGATTCTTGATAATAGCTTTCAATTGATTTTGACATTGTATTGTGAACAACGAACCTCTGGACATACAAAAAGCATCTGTATGAGAAGTAAGCAAACGTCAAAAATTAACACTGGATAAACTTTGCAAACAAAACATGTCTTCATCAAATAATTTATGACAAATATTTTGACCAACAACATATCAGACAAAAGCTTTGCACGGATAAATAAAATTTTTATCACAGATTTATCATGTCAGGTGTTAACCAATTGAATAAACTGTTTCATGACGGATTTACTTATTCCACAGTAACCATTGATGAAATAAAAACAACCATTGAATTTGCTAGCACATAATGAAAAGCCAAAGAAGATAAAGAACAGTATGCAGGGCTCACAACATCTGGCTTGTCTATTCCCATCCCAAAAGCTATCGTGGCACATACAACATGGACTTCTCCAGCATGCCATTTCTTTTGAACTGCTATCCTCTGACGAGCTGCCAATCCAGCATGGTAATACTCTGTTTTGACGTTACATTTTTCATTAAGATATTTTGAGACCTCTGCACATTCACTTTTTGAAAGACAGTACACAATGCCACATAAATTCTTGAAACGGTCCAACAGTAATCTTCCAAGCTGCTTGAGTGGTTCTTTGCTCTTCTCAAGTACTTCATACTTTAAGTTGGGTCTGTCAAAGCTCATCTCCAGAACGAGTGCACGAGGAATTGCAAGGGCATTTAAGATGTCCTACAGAGAAAAATGAGCCTAAGACAAACAGCAAACAAGACAAACAACAATGTTGGGATGAAGTCACAAATTTACCTCACGAACTTTTTCGGTTGCTGTGGCTGTTAATGCCATTAAAGGAACACTGGGGAAGTTCCTCTTGAGGCATCCCAAAACTCTATAATCTGGACGAAAGTCGTGTCCCCATTGGCTGAAATGTGGAGTAAACCAGATTACTAGATGGTCATTTCACCTCATCAGAACAAGCCAGATATTGTCCCAAATTTCACTTATATTTTCATGCTCTCAAGTTTTCACGCAATTTCCTTCTTCTATGTTCCCTAAAACGATAGTAAATATCTCCTGAAATAGTATACTAAATTCAATTGGTTCATTGGATACAACTTTTAAGGGATGCAACATAAGAATTTCCAGCCATTTAGTTTGATTTAAGAAATACATCTATCCCATTCGGTAATACACTGCAATTGATAATTAGAAACGTCAGACATGAGTTTCATTTCTTTATTGGTTTCCAATTTTGGCATTCATGATTAAGACACTTCCTCTACTCTGATTTTCTGAAGAATTCCCACACACAGACCTTACACAATGTGCTTCATCAACAACAAATCCAGCCAATTGCCCCTGCCAAATCACAAAAGTATCTTAAATCAGAATAACTGATCCAAAAGCACATGACATTAAATCACAGATCTGACAAGCTAAACAATGGACTTAGAGCTTACCTTCCTGTACAGACATTTTAGGATGTCTTGAAATGGTAAATTTCCTGCAATTCTTTCAGGAGTTACATAAAGTAGCTTACATGATGGTCTAACTCTCCTGGAAACATTAAAATGAATGATAACTGTCATACTCAAACACAAAGAACCATTACGTAGACAATCGCTGCACAAGTTGTCAATTAGCTATTGAAGCAATTAATAGAGAAAAATCAACACTCGAAAATTTTTGATGAAGAAAGGGTCTGTTAAGATAATGGAAGTTTTGGATGCAAATTCCTAAAGAAAAGAAACAAATGACGTTTGACTTCATGAAATTGTGAGTCTTATTCACTATAGATGAAAAAAAGCAAAGGAAACAAAAGAAACACATACATTATAGCAAGGGGAAAGAAAGTGATCCTTGCCTTAATTCTTCAAATACTGCTGCGGATTGTGAAGGAGTCTGTTGAGAATTTAGAAAAGTAGATGGTATGGCAAACTTGAGGTTCAGGGTGAATATTTGGTCCTGAATGAGGGAAAGCAGTGGGGATATAACAATTGTAACCCCTGGTTGTAAAATGGCTGGAAGCTGCAGTGCAATAACATTATAAGAACAGCGACTGTTGACACAGCAATGTTTAATACCTAAATGAAAAAAGACCATTCTTCCTTTACACAATCACACATATAATTTAGTTATGTACCATATTCATTCAACTCTCACATTAAGTTGGAACAAATCGATGTTTGACTGCAAGCCTAAAGAGCAACCTTAATTAACTAACCCTAGTGTCAGAGGAAAGTCAATTAGAGAAGGCAGTCTTTGTAGCCAATAAATCAACTACAAGAAACCCTCTTTCAGCTGCCAATTCAAATATACAACAGAACAAAAATAGAAAAATATAACTTGGAGAAAAAGGACACAAAATTATTCTTCCAACTTAAGGCAAGACATATCCTCATGCTTCATATACATACCAAAACCAAATAAACAAGAAGACAGTTCGACTGGTTGACCTTTTTTGCAGTAAAGAAGAATAAAAACACTAATGCCTATGGCAGTTTTCTGTGCCTGCAGAGATCACTTGCTTAACGATTGTAGGGAAATAAAAAAATAAATTTCTTGACCAAATAAAGCAAATTAGAGTGCTGTAAGTTCAACGCAGAATTCGGAAAAAACTTAAACTGGCCAACAAGTTACAAATCATAAATTTGAGACAACCATTTCTATGAAAAACTTTTGTCTGTTAATTCGGGTAAAATTGCAAGATGAAAGCCCATTAAGAAAGCAAGAACCTGACCTGGTAACAAAGGCTTTTACCACCTCCTGTTGGCATGAGGATAAAGCAGTCATTCTGTTCCCGAAATGCTTTACAAGCCTTATACTGTAAAGGCCGAAAGCTACGGTTTCCAAATACAACTACGTTAGCCAATTCAATGTCATCCAGATGCAGCAACTCCTCATATGTCAAGGTCCTGGGTTCGTTATTTGTCTTGTCTGAAAATCTCCCTGAGGATGAAACTGAACTAGGTGTAACACTGCTTATGCACTCCTTCAAGGAAAAAGTCTGTCAGCACATTTAAAATCCGGAAGGCTTGTTAATACAACTCAAAGGCACAGAGTAGATGAGCTTTATTTACTTAAAATACTACACAGAAGCACATTCGAATGATTCTCCTTTTCTGTTACCTGAATTAAAAAAATTGGTAAAAAAAATATTCAAGTTTGCTTCGTATAAATTAGAACTGAAAATCTCCTAGTATATATATTTTTTGGTTTCAATCGTGCAAATTCCAAAACCTTAATCTCAAAAATCCCACTTTAATTCACTTGAAATGTGGAAAAGGGACCTCCACACAATGCCCGTTATTTTCCAAATTCCTAGTGGACTACAACAAAAGATAATTAACATAATTCCAGAGCGTAAAATTATAACTTGTCCATTGACTCAGCATAAACTACTGCAAAAGGTGCGTATCACTCACTCCGATAAAACTTCTCTCAAAACTGCCTTAATAAACCTCCACCTTCTGCCCCTGCCTCACCCGCGCCCCCAACAAGCTATGGTATCAAATATAATTACCAACTTTACACAATTAAATTGGAAAAAGGTAAACTGACTCAAAAAAGCATCTAATACCTCAGACATCGAAGTTCTTTTACTCGAACGTCTATCAAGGCCCTGACTCTGAATTGTAATGCTGTTACCACCATTTTTTCTAGGAATTACAAAATCATCATCGTCGTCATCTTTCTCACTATCACCTGAAGAAGAATCTAGAATAACCTGAACAGAATTTTCAGAGATAACACCCCCATTATCCTTTCTTTCCTCATTTCTTTCGACCCGAATTTTAATATCCTTGTCCAGCATTTCGGCCAAAGCTCCACAAGCCTCAGACTCCATTGCTTGAAAATCATCATTTTCCCAGTCCTCCGTGTCTCGCATGGATTCCGCCAATGCCGCCAAAAAATCATCGCCGCAATACTCCACACGGATGAAATCTCTGCCCTCCTCGCCTTCAAAAATTAACAAAGTTAGAATGAAACAATGCTCTATAACAGTATGAAAATCAAATGATTGGAAAATGCAAAGGAAGAATTGGGGTTACCGTAGAGTTCAATGAGGCGATCTAAGCATTTCTTAGCGGAGTATTCATCGAATCCGAATTCGACAGCTAAGCTGATTAATTTCACTTTTTCGAGCTCAAGATCGTGCTCGTCCATTAAACTAGGTTTCCGGGGCTTCACAGTCGCCGGCGGTGGCCTGGGGCTTGAGTTTCCCGCGCTTTTCACAAACCTGCGTTGATTTATGAAATTTTAATATGAGAAATTTCAAGCTTCATGCTTTTACATGAACCTTTGGCCAGCATGAACGACGTCGTCTAGCAACAGTTCTGGCGCTCTTGGGCTTGATCATAGTATGGACTTCTACCCTGCCTACGATCCACATAAAGCCCAAAACTATCCCGCAGCCGCTTGGGCTAATCCAGTTGTTCAATGTTAAGGACAATTTCTCTTTCATTCTTTATTTGTCTTTTAATCTTGGACAAAGTATTCAAAATAAATCCAACCCCTAATTTCTAGAGCCTTAACTTTGAATCCCTAAAGCCGAGGCCTAATCAGTAGAGCTGTTAACGAGGCGAGTCGAGCTCGAGCACATGCTAATCGAGCTCGCCTCGAACCTCTAATCGAGCTAGCTCGAGCTCGCTCGATTAGTAATTCGAGCTTCACAAGTTGTTTGAGATCGACTCGGTGTATTCGGTAGAAAACTCGAGCTCGAGCTCGAACTCGAGTGAAAACCACGAGCCGAGCTTATCAAGCTCGAAACGGGAGAATGAATTAGGTTAGAATATCAAATACACAATGAAATGACACTAATGCCCCTACTATTCGAGCCTGTCGAGCTTTAAACGAGTCGAGCATAGCTCGGCTCGTCTATTAAACGAGTATCCAGTTGAACTCGAGCTCGGCTCGTTTCTCTCAATAAACGAGCCAAGTCGAGCCCTTATCGAGCCGGGTCAAGCTCGGCTCGCGAGTTATCCTGTTCGATTAACAGCTATACTAATCAGCTACTGTACTTAAAATGGAAATTTGAATAATTCTCAATAAGTTTGAATTTGTTGTTGTTTTTGAGTTCATGGCGAGATTTCAAATCTTACAAGGGGAAAAGGAGAAAAAGAAGAATTTGAAAGTCGAATTCGAGACCTCACAGTTACCAAGTTAATATCCCTGTCAATATATTGCATCCTAATGTTTTTCACAAATTTTAAGCCAAGCATTTACTATAGGGATTTGTGATACAAGTTTACATTTTGGGACTAATTGTGATTCTTTTGGTTTTGTAAGTGAAATTTGAGGTCTCGTAAATTTGTTCCAAAACTAATTAACAAGGCAGATGAGAAACATTCTCCTCTTTGTTGGATCAAAATTTTATAAACAAATAAACAGATTTTTTTTTTCTTTTTTACTCACTTCCATTATAGAACACAGCCTAAAACGATTTCAAGTAACAAGTTTTGGGCAATGCATTATTTTTTTTTAACAGTAGCTAAAGTTGATCTATATAATCAAACATATGTTCAATGCATTTTTCCCCCCTCATTGTTGAGATCTACATCAAACGTCACCACTAGTAAACCCAATAAAGTCAAATTGAAAACCCATTTTGTTAGCATTTTAATTAGATCGTTACACCTATAATCTAAGTATTAGCTCCAACAAACCTAAGAGGAAATGAGGAAGGAAGTACATCTAACTTCACTAAATGGGGTGGGGTACAGGCAACCATACCAACAACCAAAAAGGAAATAACAGGCTTGTATACCTTTATCCCGGAAGAGAGGCAGGAACAGTTGTAGATCCTGAAAGTTCATGGTTAAGATTTGGCTAAAAAAAATATAAGATTCAAATTGTATCTTATACCTCATTTTTTCACATTATGTGTAGGGTTTACAAAATTTTATTTTACAGTTATATGTTGCTATGTACATTTTATACAAAACCGCTCTGAACGGTTTTCCGATAACCGTTCGGCCCCTTGTCACCTTTATCCCTAGTTTTAATCAATGATGAAGAGTTGATACCCATAGTTCTTTACTGCACAAAAAATCTGAATGGTTCTCAAACTATTATAGTTCTTTATATTGGTTGATTTTTAACCCTCTAATTATTAAGTGCATATTTTTGCCCCTCAAACTTCTAAAAGGGTATGTTCTCCGTCCTTTTGACTAAAGATAATTTAAAAACCTACTATGAGGTGTGTATTAATAATATCACTTGGCACTCCTAAAACTTAAAAATATCACTAACCACCCCTAAAATCGTATTTTTCATAACAATCTCACTCTCATATCATTAAAATATTCTTATAATAATCACTTTTCTCCCAGTTTTACTCTTTTATGTTGTCTTATATTAAATTTTCTACCAATTTGATTATAACACAAAATTTATGTTTTGCCTAAAAATTTTCTCTTCCATAATGTTTTGCCCAAACATTGTTAAATTAGTGAAGATAATTTTTTCAATTCGTATGCTATGATAGTGATCAATGGTCACATCTCACTGACGTAGGAGTTAAATGATATTTTTGAAACTTCAAAGATGCCAAGTGATATTAACATATACCTCATGGGAGTTTTCTAAATATATCTCTAGTTTAAAGGGTGGAGAACATACCCTTTTATAAGCTCGAGAAGCAAAAATATATACTTAATAGTTGAAAGGCTAAAAATCGATCAATTTAATAGTTTGAGGGTTGTCTAGATGTTTTGTCCTTCTCTATTTCACTTGATGTTTCGTGAGTTACCAACAGTCTATCAAGAACTCACATGAAACATGAACACATTGATTATCGATATAAATTATGTATCCCCCCTTTACACTTGGAACTTTCTCGGGACAAAAAGAGTTAACAAATTTATTTAAACTTGAAAGAAATACTCTGTCAAAAGTGCTTGAAGGCATATTTGCTTTATGTAGATTTGGAAGTTGAAACACAGATTGGGTAAATAAGCGGCATGACACGCTAAATCGAGTAAAGTCTCTAGACTAGCAGTCCAATATGCTATAGTATGAGAATAGTAGGTGTAGAATTCCAACCTAATAGGAAGAAAATGGAACATGCTTAAACTACTGTTGATTATTGTGTCATTTGACTGCAAACTTTCTAACAATTGATATACCCAAACAGACAAGAACCTGAAAATTGTTTTGGATTTTTTTTTCGACAACTTCCCATTTGCAACATTTTCTAGCTCTTCATTCCTAGGTTTTATGAAATTAATCAAAACTTAGAAAGATAAACGAACATAAATTGATTACGATTAATATTAGTGGAATCACACATTACAGAGCTTATGTATCACGTCATAATGGAGATATTATGCCATGCTGCTTGAACTTTTACATTTCAACAATTCGGAAAAACGTAATATATACAAATCATGAAAAGTGCCAAAAACAAAAAAGAAAACAAAGGAAATAGCTTCAATATGAATCTACCCCTTGCCAAGATCGCTTTCTGGCAATTGAATCCCTCATTCGGGGTAGATTTTGATCATCTCATATTCAATGAGCAAACCACATTCTTCTACGTAATTCTCAAGGAAACAGAAAAAATAAAGCCAACATATTTTGCGAGATCTCATGTTCTGCAAAGCATAGAATATTGGACAATGAAAGAAGATATAAGTAGGAGGAAAAAGCACAGGCAAATAAATATGGACCTTGCATGCATGGAAAGTGATATTGTACCCCAAGCGTACAAACCCTTTTTCATGATCATCTAACTCAATATTTCACGTCTAGCTCTATACCTAATATCCATGAACTATTTTCCTGCAGGTACGCTTGATCCAACGGAAACCTTTCTTGATAGAATTCTTCACCTTGCCTTCGTATGCGTAATATTTGTAGGTAGCAATTCTCTTTCTTCTGTTCAATTGGCGATAATCGATCCACGAACGAGACGACGACGTTGGTGGTGGTGGGGGTGGCGGTGTTGCTGCTGGGGTGCTGGTTGGCTCCGTAACCTGATATCTTCCAGCTTGGTTTGCAAAATGATTATTTGATCGGATTACATGTACATTGTTTGCACCATATGCTTTACCATTGATGATTTCAAGAGTTTGCCCTGCCGTCCTCCGGTGACTAGCCTCGAACTCGGTCATTCTCTCTCTCTCTCTCTTCCTCTTCCTCTGTCTCTCTCTTCTCCGGATGGTTTGTTGAGAGGAGATGGAGGAGAAGAGAGAGTTCAGGCTATAGATAGATATATACAGAGATGCCAAGGAACGGTTGTAATGAAAAGTTAGATTTCTTTGACTCCTTTAGAATTCTTTGACTCCTTGACTCCCCAAGAAGACGTTAATGAGACTAGAATTCGAATGTAACATAGGTAGAAATTAGAAAAGGGGATAACGATCAAGAATTCTAATTGCCAGCGTATACATAAAGGTACAATCGAGAAAATACACCAACATATAGAATTTGCTAAGAGATCATTGTTTATGTAAGACACAAGATTAGGGAAGGGAGTTATCGTTTAAGCCCCCATAGATTTACTCATTTAATTGAACCTCTTTGGGTCTAGAAAATAAAAAATTAGTCCGTTTGAGGACTAAAAGCGTTCATTTGCAGGCATTGTTTACCCTGCTAAATAAGTTTCACATGCACATTCATAAAGATTATAGCAAAGATCTTCCCCTATTTGTCAAAACAGAAAACATCTGTCACAGCTAAAAGAGAATTCGGCTGAAATATAGGTTAGGCGTCCCTAGCATTATGTTCCTCAGGTGAATTGTTAAGATTTCAGGGCACCCTCATCTGCCTCAGGAACATTCTCTTTTCTGCTCTTAGCTCCTTTTCTTGATTCTTCCAACTTTGTCCTTGTGCGAAACCTGAAAAGTTTTGGAGGAAAACATCTATTTAAGGAAATTGAGAAAACTTAACTTATAGCTAACCAGCACAATAAGGGGTATGCCCCTTCCCTTGTGCAAACCTTTCTTCAGTATTGATGACCTAGCACAGCACGGCGAGGGATAATATTGTGCTTACAATGTAAGATTTCCACTCAATTTTGCTGTGTTCATTAGCAACAGCTGAAGGCTGTACATGGTCACGAACGTGCCGGAAAATGTGGAGGAGAACTGCAGCATCAAGAGCAGCATACTCCAACTGCACAAGCATTCAACATGACGTTAATCTGAAAATCAGAGCCGCAAAAGTTAATGAGTATGAAACATTGAATCTAAATCAGTGATCTATCCGCAACAAC